GAAGACAAGACACAAGTCACCAATTCAGGAATGAAATAGGGAATGTCGCTTCAGATTCTGTGAGCATCAAATAGGTAGTAAGAGAATAATGCTGTGAACAGCTCAACCAACTATTTAACAACTTAAATGAAATGGGTCAAATCTTGAAACAAAAACTACAACTTACCCAATACAAAAGAGATAATTTAAGTAGCTCTGTATCTGTTATAGAAATTGAGCAAATGAACTTGTAGTAAAAAACTCCCCCCAAAAAGAAATCTCCAGGCACATATGATTTCACTAGAAAATTAACACCTATTCTACACATTCTCTCCAGAAAAGAGAGAACACTTCCCAATTTATGAAGCTGATACCAAACTTGATAAAGACAATACAAGTAAAATTAAAGAACAATATCACTTATGAATAGATGTAAATATCCTTAAGAAAATATTTGCAAATAGAATTCACCAATATATAAAAAGAATTATACCACAACCATGAGGTTTATTCTAGAGGTGAAGGCTGGTTCAATATCCAAAAGTCTATTAATGTAATCTACCACATTAACAGACTTAAGGACAAAAACTCACATTACCATATCAGTTGATGCAGAAAAAGGGTATGACAAAATTTGACATTCATTCTTGATAAAAACTCTCAGAAAAATTGGAATAGAGGAGAACTTCTTCAACCTGACAAAGACATATACAAAAAAACTCAGAGCTGACTTTATATGACTGGTAGAAGACTGAATGCTCCCGTCAGGAACAAAGCAAGGATGTCCATTCTCCCCCTTCTTATTCAACATACTTCTGGGTCAGTGCAATAAAGAACAAAAAACAAATAAAAAGCATATAAGTCAGAAACAAAGAAATAGAAGTTCTTATTTGATGAACAAACAAGAAACCTACAAAGCCTCATAACTAGTATGTGAGTTCAGCTAGGTCACAGGATACAAGAAAAATATACAAAAATCAATTATATTTTTATATACTAGAATACTTGGACATCAAAATTTTTTAAATGATACACTCAAAAAAAGGAAACACATAGATGTAAATCCAGCAAAATATTAATAGTACTCGCTGCTGAAAACTATACAACCTCATGAAAGAATCAAAGAATATCTAAATAAATGGAGAGGCATACTGTACTCATGGATTGGAAGACTCAACACAGTACAGATGTCAGTTCTCCCCAGACTGATACACAGGTTTAATTCAATTCCTATCAAAATCTTAGCAAGATTTTATGTAGACACAGACAAGGTTATTGTAAAACTTACATAGAAAGACAACATTAAGTAGAACAGCTAAAACAATTCTGAAAAATAACAAAAGTTGGAGGAATCAGTCTATGCTATTTTAAGACTTAATACATAGATAGCTACAGTAATCAAGACTGAGTGGTAGAGGCAGAGGGAGAGATACATATATCAGTCGAATAAAATGAAGAACCCAGAAAGAGAACTGCACAAATATGCTGAGCCAAGTTTTGACGGAGATGCAAAAGAGATTCAGGAGGAAAGACAGCCCTTCCAACAAATGTGGCTGCAGCGATCCAACACCCAGAGGCAAAAAACTGAACCTAAGTTTCTCATCTTACAAAAAAGTTACTCAGAATGGAATGTTTGCTACTGCAAGCAATCCAGCAGTGAAAATCCTCGTACAGGTTTCTTTGAGCACCTAGGAGGGAAACGGAGAAGCAGAACTATGGCTTTGAAGGTGGCCAGTAGAGTTAATTGGCTGAACCAACACCTATTCCCACCCATTTCCACTCACCATCTTCTGTCCTACCTCCCACAAGGAAGGATTTTGGAAAAGCCTGTAGCTAGGGGTGGCCATGTGACCCAGTTCCAGCCAATTAAACATCAGTAAGTTTGCGGAGTGGTCCCTAGGCATGTCTTTGTTTTCCAGGAAAAGGGAATAGATGGCACAGTTCCTTTCCCCTGCTCTCAAGGTGGCAGCCACATTACAACAGGAAGGAGAGCCAAAGAGAATCATGGTCATGTCACCCTTGATATCAGTGAGCTGCATGAGAGCCAGCAGTAGCCTGCCTCCGGATTGCTTGTTAGGTGAGAAGAGCAAATTCCTATTTCTTTAAGCCACAGTATCAGCCTGGTTTTCTGTTACTTGCTGCCAAATTAGCTCCTAAAAAGTCTGTCCTCCCTTCATTCTCTCACAAAAGTCTGTAAGAGTATACATTTCCCAAAACTTGTGTTTACTTTGAATGTTGTCATTTATCTGTTTAACCTGCAGATGCAGGAAAATGTTTCATATAAAGTGGAATGTCATGTCATACATGCGTCGGAAAGATTTCCTGCTCTCTGACCTTGTTCATAGCTCTTGCCCACTTTTCTACTGTATTATTTGACTTTTTCTTGATTCGTCAGATTAAATAAATTTACAGATAGCAAAGCAGGCTTCATTAAACTTACAGAAGATGTGTCTCTGCATCTTTACACTGTCCATACAATCAAACACAATTAAGAAATAAATCTTTTGTGATAGGTCAGGCTAACAGTGACATTCATAACAGTCATCTCCCAGGGGTGCACCACTTGGTGCACCACCATGAGGCAGAGTCAAGAAGTAATTCAACCCATGCAAACCACCACAGTCCATGCTCAGCACTTTAATTGCAAATCTACACCTAAAGAAAGGTCCAGTAGAACATTGACACACTGGTGAACCAGGCAGAGTCCTTAGCGAGCATCATCTCTTTAACCCTCACATCAAACGCAGGAGGCAGTTGTCATTATTCCTATTTTACAGAAAAAATGGTAAATGTAATCTTTAAAAATCAGTAATTTCTTCCCTCCATGAAAACTTAACATTCTAGGCCCCGTATTTAAAAGCAAAAAGAATGATTACTTAAAATTAAAACTATGTAAGATATATTATAAATACATAAACATACTTAAAGCCAGAAACCTTGTGGAAGCTGTTTAGTGGTTTATGAATCTGAAGGAGCTGTTCCAAAGTCTGGCTTTAAAGTTTATTGGAACACTGGAGTTAACCAAATTACTTCTGTTTTCTTAGAGTCGAAAAATAAATCAAGTACTGTTTTAATGCTTCAGTGAGAAGAACCTACTAGCTAGCCACCCCACCCAGACAGCAGGCAAAGAATTCCTCTAACCAGTTAACAATCAACCAACCTGACACTGAAAACAAACAAAACAAGCTGTTAAGGACAGTAAAAGATTGCCCAAAAGCAAGCACTGTTCTTAAGTATTTGTACATGGTTCGGATTTTGGATAGATTGACTCTATCCAAAAAGCCCAGAGGCTAGAGGAAAAGAGAAAGTTGGGGAGGCTTGTGCTCCTGGAGCCAGGTGGGGAAGCAGGGGGCTGCGCCCTGAGAAACATTTCCTTGCTTTTATGCCACCCTCTCACCTCTCTGGCACACAAAACACTCACCCCACCGGGCTGAGGGGTGCAGGCATCAGACAGCCTGGATGCCTCCTGCTAACTTTACCTGGAGAGAACACACCCAGCCCAGAGCCCACAGGCCAGGGCCTCCAGAACTGCCAGCCCCTGGCAGGAAGGCCAGACCACCCTCTGCTGCCCACTTCGGCCCCAGGGAGATGGAGTTTCACTTGGAGCCACCCTTCTGCAGAATTTTTTAGCCAGTTAATGAGGCACAGAAAAATGGGGTTGAATTCTAATTTCCATAAAGGAAAACAAATATGCAGTTACCCAGTGTTTATGGTCTACAAAAGTGGAAATGGGTAGACAAATACCCAATCTAAGAGTACCTATCTGTGGTGGTTTTTTGCATTTTCCTGGTGGGCTTGCCAGTGGCCCTGATCACAGGGAGGCAGTGGAGTGTTCCCCCCACCCCACCCCACTTGCTCTGGGGTTGTACCCCTCACCCCAAGGGCACAGAAAGTATAACACAGGGAAAGAAATTGGACTCTTTCCCAAAGTTGGCTGTAGCAGGCCAGGCTTAGGGAGGGCAGGGGTCCTGGGTGACTGCTCCTGACATGGATCCAGGTGTTTTTGGGAGGGAGGCATAGCAAGAAGAGAGTGAGGCAAGCTTTAACCACGAGAACAAATCAAGCCAGATACCTCAGCCCTTCAAAACAGTGTCCAAGCTTCAGGACTGCTCATTAAAAGGTCGGTAAGCCTGCACATGAGGAAGAGGGACACCAAATCTCAGAGAGGGGAGTGAGAAAGAGCAAGAAGGAAACACAAGAGGGTGATGGGGCCAAAATCAAACCAGGCATTGCAGCACAGTGCCTGAGCTCTGGGAAGGGGCACACCTGGCACCCACGAGGCTCCCTAAAAGGGCCGAGTGAGAGCCAGGCCCTGCAGGTGCTCCCAATTGTCTGGGATCACCAGGACAGCAAAGAGAAGGGGGCAGGGGGTGGCTCAACACGGCTCCCAGCATATGAAAAACCAACTGAGCGCACGCGGCACACTGTCTTCCTGCCTGGTGAACACGCCAGCTCATGGCCAGGCACACGGACACACGCATGGCCGTCGTGAGGGCACAAGCGCACAGCATCCCGGACTGGTTGGTGTAGGCACACAATCACACAAACTCCATCACGGGTGAACTTGCACACAACCTCTGCGGGCTGGGCTCATGTTCATGCCGGCGCACGCGCGTGCACACACACTGCACGGCCTTGGTCAGGTACACGCAAGCCCCCACACGAGTCCTTCCCACACTCACAGCCGCTGATGCACGCACACGTACTCTCACCACGTCTCCGTTGGCGTGTGCACACGTGAGACATGTCAAACGCACACTTGCACCCTCACAACCGTCAGTGCCCAGCACACTCGCACTCTTACTGCCGGTGCACACACACCCCACAAGCTCGTGCACGCGCAAAACTACCGGGCACACGCACTCACAGCCTGCCAGGAACACACCGCTCACAACTTCTCTGTGGCGTGAGCGCAAACACCAACTCGCAGCCCCAGGGTCCCCGTCCCAGGCCCCCGCGAGCAACCCCCCGCACCGCCTGCTCGCCCGACTCCCCTCGGAGCGTCCTCGGCCGCTTCTTACCTTTCTCGCCTGCGCCGGGCACCCGGCCCTCGTCCTCCTTAGGGTTGATCACCTGGGTGATGATGGCCGGGCCGTCCATGGGTGCGCGGCGCGGCGGCCGCCCGCCCGCCCGGCCCCCCGCAGGCCAGGCGCACGGGGGCGCGGCGCGGGGGGAGCGCGGGGCCGCGGGCCGTGGGGGCGCTCGCCGCCGCCGCTTGGGCGCGCCCGCCGCCCGGCCCCGCGCTCTGGGAGAGGCGGCCCGCGCCCCCGCTCCCGCCGCCGCCGCTGGGCTGGAGCGGCCGCCGCCTCGTCACCATGAACCCGGAGCCGCGCCCGGGAGAGCCGCGCACGGGAGGCGGAGCGCGAGGCCAGGCGCCGCGGGAAGCAGGCGCGGGCGCGGGGGAAGGAGCGAGCGAGGAGCGAGCGAAGAGCGAGGGCGGGAGGGCGGGAGCGGGAGAGGGAAAGAGGGAGGCGGGCGGGTGGGTGTGTCCCGGCCCGGGAGCTGCCGGTGCGGCCCGCTCGCTCGGGGAGAGGGGTGCGGGGTGAGCGGAGGCGGTGAGTGGGGGCGGGAGGGGCACGCGCCGGGGCCTGGGCAGCCCGGGCGACCCCCCGCCGACGTGAGGGCCTGGGGGGGTAGTCAGGAAGCCGGGAAAGTGAGTAGGTGAGGGGCCTGGTGGGGAGCCAGGAAAGAGGGGTGGATGAGGGACCTGGGTGGGCTCAGGGAGCCGGGAAAGTGAGGGAGGGGGTGAGGGGCCTGGGAGTGTCAGGGAGCTGGAAAAGTGGGGTGTGAGGGGTGTGGAAGGAGGCGCGGGGACCCGGCTGAGGGGCGTGCGGTGTGGGGCTCTGGGGCGGAGGCGGGGATCGCAGGGCTGGGGGAGCGAGGACGGCCTGGGGACGGATGTGTCCTGGGAGGAATATGCGGTAGACGGGGAGGGAGGTCCCGCCAGGGTGTCCTACGGAATGTGCAGGGAGAGGGGCTCCCTGGAGCGGCAACCGGAGTCGGAGGCGCGCCAGGCAGCAGTGTGCGGAGCCTAAGCTGCTGCGTGGGCCCTCAAGCCGCGGCGGCCCGCGTAATGGTCCCCGGCTGAGTGTAAGCGCTCGGGGGCGCGGGGCGGCGGAGGCGCCCCAGAGTGTGAGGAATCCTGGGGGGCCGGGGGAAGGGACCCGGGAGCGAGCGGGTCACGAAAGGCGTCCGCGCCCGGAGGAGGCTCCAGCGTGGGGCGTCGGCGGAACGCATCGGCGTTGGGCCAACAGCCGGGTGCCAGGCGGCGGGTCCCAGGACCCACCTCCCGGCACGCGTATGTCGGCGTCGAGGGGCTGGGACATTGCCGCTTCCGGGCGCTCTGCAATAAGGGGTCGGAATGCCGGTCGAGAGCTGAGGAGAGGAAGGCGCCAAAGGCGGCCGCGGTGGCCAGGGACTGTGCTTCCGTCAGGGCCGGAGCGAGGGCCGGAGCGCGAGCATGACGGGAAAGCGCCCCTCAGCCTCACAAGGCCGGAGCCCTTCCGCGCCCGCGCCTCTCTGCTCCAACTTGGAAACCAGACCCGCAGGCCTGTACGCCAAGGGGGCGGGGCAGTGCCGCGGAGAGGGGTGAGGGGGCGGGGCTGGAGCCCTCGCGCGCGCCCCCCGCCAATCAGGAGGGTTTGGGAGGGCCTGCGGAGCCTGACGTAGACGGGCCGGCTGCGTGGGCACCCTGCAGCGCCGAACGCCCCTCATCCCCGCGTCGCGTTGAGCGCTGGTTTCAGGCCTTGTGGCAGGACCAGCCGGTGGGTGCTTAAAGGCGGTGTGGCCCCCAGGTCATTTCACTTCTCGGATTCCCTGGATCCTGGAAGCCCGGGGCTCGGTCGCCTGCTCAGCGAGACTCTCCGGTTTCAAAGGACACCTCTAAAAGCGCCCCTGACGGGGGGCAGCCCGCAGACGGGCTGGTCTGTGTAAGGGGTGGAGCCCAGAGAGCCCGAGAGTCGGAGACCCGGCCAGGACCCGGTTCCTGTGGCCCAGTCAGGTGGGAAAGCATTGCAGGGGAGCTGCTGTAAAAGGCAGTTAGGCAGGCTATGGGTGTTTTGTCCCCAAACCCAGCATCTTAGGTGACGGCATCCTTGCTGTGTGTGTGTGGGCCCTGGTACCAGTTGCCTTGGAGTGTGTTCACTCATGAATAGCTAACCCCCAAATGGAACCTTTGGAATCCCAGTGAATTTCTTGGGGGCAGCCGAGCCGTGAAGGTGGAAGTGAAGTTTGGTTAGGAAGGCACGCCCAGCTCTAAGTTGCCCAGGCCCCAGGACATGTCCTGCCTAGCCCTCCCAAGTACACAGACCTGATTAGAGCCCCCAGGGCACCCAGGGCTTCTTTGTCCACACTTCCAATACTCATCACATTTGTTATGAGAGTATGGCTGGTCCAGGGCCTGATGAATTAAAACATTCTCTGTATTCAATTTTCAAAAATGCCTAAATTCTGAGAAGTCGGAGGGGGATCTTCCAGATACAGCTATGTGGAAAGATACGGTTCTCCTACAATTAGTACTTAACCACAGAGATAGCAACCCTACTACCTGGTTAATGAGGCATCCCATTACACAGCGGCAGGGGAAGGAAGCATATGGACTCACTGACACGTGCTTGACACCTGGATTCCTTTTGGGTGGTGGACTTGCAGAGGTTCTGCTCTTAGCAGCTAAGAGGGACTTAGCTGATGCTGGGGAGGAGCACAGAGCTCAGGAGTACATCACTAAAGGAAATGGTTTTCATACACGGATTTCCCTGACCTTTTCTGTAATAATGACTGCAGGACCCTGCAGTAAGTTGTCCCTTACCTGCATCCTATATAATTCTCAACTTCCTGAGATCACCTCCAACTCTCTCACACACACACACAGTCTTTGTCTTACTTTCACCGAAGTCTTTGTCTCAGGCTTAAGCAATAAAACAGCTTGCTGCTTTTAAATCCTTCTTGTCCTCCATATTCTGTTCATTTAAAGTTTCAATTTATTATTTATTTTGTAAATATTAATAGAAATCAAAGAAAAACTTCACCCAAAGTCCTATCAGTCTCCTTAAATCAGTTTTCCTCCATTTCTCTCTGTCGTTATCCATATGTTGACATGATTTTTATGTAGCCATAAAAAAATGGTTATAACGAGGTGAGCATTTTTTTCTAAATGGTGGCATAATCATTGTAATTTCCATTATAAATGACTGCATAATACCTCAGTGTACAAGTCTTAGACAAGATATTCTTATTGTTTTACAGATGAAGGACAGATTCAAGAGTTTCTATTGGGACAACTGATTAGCCATGAGGAGAAAATATATACTTACCTTGGTGCTTACAGTATATCAAGATGGATCAAATAATTATTAAAAATTCACAAATAAGTAAATATACCAGAACAAATACGGGTGAATATTTTTTTTGATCTTGGGTAGGAAAGGCCTAAGAGTGACAAAAACTCCAGAAATTACAGATGATAAGATTGATAAATTTAGCTGCATTTGTTCTTTCAACAAATATTTATTATGTGCTAGATTTTGTTCTAGACACAGGATCTCAGGGTTGTCCAAAGTGAGGGTTCGAGAGCTGGGTTATCATGCTTTCACAAGTCCGTTGTAGCTGAGTGCTGTCCTGTGGGGCCTTTAGCTCTCTTGAACTCTGGGCTCTCTGGGAATGGGAGCAAAGCAGCTCTGGGGCCTGAGAACAGTTGCTAGCCCATCTGAGCACATCAAGCCCCAGAGAGGGAAGTTCAGAAACAGTAAAAGGGATCTAAGGGGATCTGGACAGTGAAAGGGTATCTCGCCGCGACCCTCACCAAGAATGACTCAGGAGACACGGGCCCACGCAATAGACTTTATTATCTGAAGGAGAGAGTGGCTGCCCCAGAGGGGGGTGGGGGGAGAGAGAGAGGGGGGGTGAGCAGCAGAGAGAGCCGCGGGACAGAGAGAGAGAGAGCAGGGGGACAGAGAGAGAGAGACAGACAGACAGACAGACAGACAGGACAGCAGCGTGGTGCCTTTTATTGTGGCAGATCCGCTTGGCCTGTTGCTTTGGGGGAGTGTCGGGATGTTTAGAGATAAGGTGGGATAAGCCCGGCAAGCCCAGGCATAATTCTCACCGGCTTATGTGCTTGGGACCATGGGGCAAAAGGAGGATAAATTATATATTCTTACATTCCTCCCTTTTCTGTTTTATAAGTGGTAGAGGATTTGGGAAGGGGTGCAGGTCAGTCTTCAGTAACTGCTTCCTGCTAATTAGGGGCGATGAAGTTCATTTTTGTATTGATGGGGGGCGGTCCTCAGATGAGCCCTTGGTCTGCAGTGGTGATGGCATTTTCCAGGTTCAATAAGGATCATCGTCTTTGGAGAGGGGTTGGTAATCCTGTAATATAAGCTGGTTAAAGGTTTGGTTAGAAATTTTTTGCATTGGGCTGATTGCTATGTTTACATAGGGTGGCTGAATTAATAGCATTTTGGGGGAAATATGTGTAGGCAGAAAAGCGACCTGTAGGGCAAAGGGAATCCTTGATGGTGCAATCTTTTGGACAGTCTAGGAGAAGAAAGGGCTGGTGTTAGGAAGATAGGTCTGATGAGAGAATAAGTGTTGAGACCACGGTTAATAATCCCGAAGCATGACGCATGGTGGTTGTGAGGGAGGTCTTGGGACTCTGTGCTGGCAGAAACTTCTTCAGTGATGAGTGGAAGCGGAGATGAGCAGCGCGAAATGTGGATAGTAAGAGGTCCCATCAGGGTGGAGGAGTAGGAACCTGTGGGAGATTTGGTGGGAGGGGAATAAGCTTGAGACAAACGGCTCAAGGTGAGAGTTGTGTATCCAATGGAGAAGAGTCTGGAGTTTAACTGCAGTTGGTGTGGAAAGGATTACTGTGTATGGTCTTGGAATGGGCATGGTTTGGAGAAGTTTTTTTCTGTCTATGGTAATGGCCTTGTAGCTCCGGGAGAGCTGAACTCCCAGGTATGTGACCTGAGCGGCAGACAGCTGAACTTTGCAGAGTGAAACCCGATAGCTGTGTTCTGAGAGAAAGTTTAAAAGGAGAATAGCATCCTGTTGAGAGGTTTGTAGGGAGGGACTGCACAGGAGGAGATCATCTACATATTGAAGAAGGGTGGAGCTCGAGAGAGAGTAAGGGATTTGAGGTCTTGTGTTAGAGCCTGTCCGAAAAGGTGGGGACTATCTTTAAAGCCGTGGGGAAGGACTTGTTAAGTGTTCTCTGAATATTAAAAATTAACTTAACATAAGGAATTTCCAGCCTTGATTTTTCTCTGGGATACTGGCGTCTTGGTCTGGGAGCATATCAAAAGGCTGCCTGCTCAGCTCCCAAGGTGGGCTGAGGTATTGTCTATTTGCTAAATAATCTTGCCTTTTACTATGCCGTGTACAGCTGGGTCTGCATGCTAAGTTAGTTGTTCAGTTTGCAAAATTACCTCCTCAGATCTGAAAGAGCAAAGACAGCACATAGGCCTGGGCCTTTTAGTATGCTAAAGTGAATCTTATACACGATTGCAAATGATTAGCATAATAAAACATGTGCTACTTTTATCTGGGGAACATT